CCCCAAAACCCCAAAACCCCAAAACCCCTTCTCCCTTAAAACCCCTTGAAATTCTCTTATCCTAACCCCACCTTCTACACCCAAACTCTTCTCCAGTCTTTCCTTGCTCTCTTCCTACTCTCTAAAATCCTTTCTGTAACTCTTACCGTTCATGGTACAGACCCTTAAGGCCGCTTCTCAGAAAAGACTAGAAAAGTTTACAGGGAAATTAGAATTTTAGAAGGACTTAAGAGGAAATTAAGGGATTTGGGCAGGAATATGGAGGGGATTGTGGAGGATGGAACGGCGTTTGGAAGAGGAGTGATGATGGTGAGGGGGAAGTACCTTGAGAGCTATAGAAGGGGTTAGAATGAGGAGAGAGGAATTGTGGAGTTGGGAGAGGAGTAGGGGAGTTTGGAGGTGGTTTTGAGAGGGAGATTTTGAAGAATTACTTGTGTTTTTGGTTTATCATTTTGGAGGTGGTGAGTAGTAATTAATAGGAAGTGCTTTAGAGTCTACTTAATATTTCTTTGCTGTCTTTTTAAGGAATTTTTTATCGAAAATGTTTGCTTCTTGCTCTCTGAAAATAAACTTAATCCCAATTATCCATTGAAGAAAATTAAATCAAACAAGTCTGCTTTCTTACTCTTTAATATCTTCTGAATCCTCTCTGGTATAAACTATAATAGATGAATTTAATTCTCACAAAGAGTGATGCTCTTATAGAAATCTTGTTTTTTAAAATTAAACAAAATTACAAGTCTGATTCCCTTCCAATTTTAAAAATAATCCAAACACGTATTATTTAAACAAAAGTATTCTATCAACCAATAGGGGCTAATCAGGTTAATAATTTAGTCTTTTAATAAGAATAATTGAGCTGCTTTGTCATACTTAATTTTCTCTTATCATACAAGCTAATAGAAATGTGTTCAGATCAACAGCTAAAAGAAATAACCAAGCACTCATAAAGCAGATATCCTTTTCTAAAATAATTAAGCACGATATTATAAAACAAAAACTGTTCATGTTTGAAATAGAGTTAGTATAAGTTCATCATTTCTAGCAACATAATATCGATACCTTCTTGACTCGAGCAATTATAATCAGAAAAGAATAGGTCAATGTTCTTGCCCAATCTGACTATCTTCTTGAAAGTGTACTGATTTAGTGAGGACTGAGGAGACCTGAGCATGAGGAATAGATAGATTTAGTCTATTGTGTCTGCTTGAGGTGAGATTTCGATATTCAATTTCTTCGATTCTTAGATTTTCAGAAATTTGAAGATCGGTCAGATCAGGGTACTGGTTGAGACATAGGTTTTCATAAGCTTCTATATTTTTAGATTGCTGTGATATTCTAGCAGTCTCTAGGGGTTTAGAGTTAAAATATACCTTTGAAAATGTCTGAAGTGTCAAATTGTTTGCCCTAAATATCCTTAAACTTTTTCAACATATCGATAAAATGTCCTGCTTGGTCAAGTAAATCTTGAGTAGAATTGCCTTCTTTTGAAAAATGAATCTCGTTAGTTGAAATAGAAACTGGAATCTAAAATATTATTGATAATGAGGACAACACTCGAATAAAACTACTCAATAGGTTAGAAAATAAGTTTGAATTATAAAAGAAAAGCTCAAAGACAGATACAGCAGTCAATTTAATCACAAAAGATTTTACCTTGTTGCTTTCACAACTAATAGTTCAACTATCTCTCTCGCTCAGATTTAAACCTCTGGTTTTCTTCCTTGACCTTCTATTGGAGTTGGGTCTTAAGTATCATTCTTTTAATTCTAAAAAAGATTGTTCTAAAAGTTACGTAAAGAATCAGAAAGTTTCTTCAAAGCAAGGTTGTTTTTGCAGTTGAATGAAAGCCAATAATATGTCTTCGATGCTTATCAGAACCTTTCCGCCTTTTACTGTATCACAGTTAGTAAATATTTCCAAGCTTACTTTTTCAAAAGTCCAGTTTTTGAGTTAAATGGGTACAAACGTTCATAAATATGATAATTCCTATGATTTTCCTTTCCCTTCGTAACTACCTAAATTACATCTCTCATAACCTCCTAAAGTCCCTCAAAAATTCCAAAATTCTCCCCGAAACCCCTAAAATACCTTCTTCGTTTTCTTACTTCCCTTTGTTCCTTCACTCTAAACCCAATAAGTCCTAACTTACCTTCTCTCTTGCCTTATTCCACTCAACTTTCTCCTGACTAAAAAATAGGGTTTAAAGAGTAGATAGAAGAGCTTACAGACATGATTTTTGGATGTCTGAGGTCTGCAGTTACTTGGATTTGGATTTTTGTTTGGAGGAAGGTTTGGGAAGGGGAATTGAGGGATTGGGGAGTTTGGAAAAAAGGGGTCGATCAATGGTTATGCGGTTGGTGGAGGAGGGATTTGAGGAGTGGAAGAGGAGTATGGGTTGTCTGGGTTCATTTTTGAAATAAATCAATTTTTCAAGTTTTTATAGAGAATAAGGGGTTTTGGGGTTTTGGGGTTTTGGGGTTTTGGGGTTTTGGGG